AAAAGCCATTGAAAGGCATTTTAGGTAATAGCATAATCGAATCTCTTTAGTGCTGGTGTGGTAAAATACACTGAGTGAGAGTAAGACTAGGTAGACTAGGTTGAAGGCATTTCATGGCAATTAAAGTTAAGGAATTCTAAGGGGCCTAAATTAAGATTGTAATAGTATAAAGGGGAAGAGAGGCTGAATTTGAGAAACACTTAAGGACTTGAGGACTTGATAGAATCTGGATGATGCTGAGGGAGGAGGTAACTCACAAATCTCTAACTTGTGCAGATAGCTGGTGATGCAGTTCACAGTCAACAAAAGAAGCAGGAAAGTGTGTTATTGCATTTAGCACATCGGGTGGACATACAAACAAAGACGGCAACTGAAAATGTAAATCTGAAATGCTGGATCAAGAGCGTAGAGATTTAGAATGGAAATCGTGGGCATAGAGGTGGTCAAGTCTGTCAAAGAGAAGCAACCATTCAAAGATTATACAGAGGAGGAAGAAGAAAGAGAAGATCAAATCCATCTATCATTTTAGTTCTAACCAGTTACCTATTAACAAAATTACTGCAATATTTTTCCTTGTGGGTTTTATTGCATCTACCATATTCTTCTCAAATACATTTGTCTCCCAATCAAATTTATATTATTTATATACCATCCACTTTCTCTCAAAAACCATAAATAATTTTCCACTACCTAGAGGATAAACCACCAACTCCTTGGTCTTTAACTTTTTTGCAATTTTTTTTTCTCTCGCCCTCTTATATAAACATTAGCCTATCAAATTTGTCTTGTCTTTGTTCCATCAACTTTTCCTACCATAGTTTTTCTTTTCATATCATCAACCTACTTTTGGCTATTTTCTGTTCTTTTCTCTATCAAAATCTCAACTGTCTTTTGCAGAATTCAACTCAGTTTTTTGTCTGTCAAGAATGCTTTCCTAGACCATCAGAGACCAGAGAAAACTTGACATTTTAAAAACATACACGTTGTCTGTTATACACACGTGACCATTTATCAAGTACTTGGTAAATCTCGCTAAAAATTTTGTTAGGTTTTCTGGTTTGGTTTCAAGCTATGTTAAGTTTCACGAGAGTAGAGGCTTTGTCTAATTTATTCACTGCTATGCCTCTAGAGCTTGGAACTATTCCTGACATGTAAACATCTGTTGAGTCAATAAATAATCATTTTATTTCTCACAATATTTAGATGAGATGAGACCTTCCCTAATATGGGTGGCTTTATAATTATTTATTAATTGCTTGTTTAGATTCCTGGCTTCATAAGGATAGGCATATACGTGAGAAAATAGTTTTCTCTGAGATGGCATGAGAAAATTGAAGGAGTTCCCTTAAAAACAAGAACAAATAAAACTTTAAAATGACTTCCAAAAATATTTCTGTAATCTATCTTTTATGTATGTATTATTATTGTCCAATTTCTTACATTTATTTTAAAGAAGATGTCTGACTAACAGCTATAACTTACCAGCCTGTGATTATTAAGAAGCATTTTGTCTTTCCTAACAGTTAACTAGGAACTCAATGTTATGAATTGTGTTTTCTCAAAATTTATATGTTGAGTTCCTAACAGCCAGTACCTCAACATGTTATCTTATTTTGAAAAAGGGTCTGACATAGTTTGACTTTGTGTTTGCTCCCAAATCTCATGTTGAGTTATAATTCTCATTGTTGGTGGAGGTATCTGCTCGGAAGCGATCGGATCATCAGGGTGGATTTCTGCCTTGCTGTTCTTAAGATGGTGAGTGAGTTCTCATAAGATCTGGTTGTTTAAAAGTGTGGTACTTCCCCCTTTGCTCTCTATCTCCTGCCACCATGTGAAGATGTGCTTGCTTTCTCTTCACCCTTCTGTCATGATTGTAAGTTTCCTGAGGCCTCCCAGCCATGCTTCCTGTACAGTGTTTGGAACTGTGAGTCAATTAAACTGCTTTTCTTCATAAATTACCCAGTCTCAGGTAGTTCTTTATAGCAGTGTGAGAACAGACCAATACAGGGTCTGGTAACACAGGCAGAGGTAACACATGCATATGAGGTCACAATGGAGTAGGGTAAGTCCCTACTCTAATATGTATGGTATCCTTATAGCAAAGACAAATTTGGACACAGACACAGATACAGGGAGAACACCATGTGAGGAAGGCAGAGATCAGAGGAATGCTTCTAGAAATGAGGAACATAAAGACTGATAGCAAACCACCAGAAGTTAAGGTAGAGGCATGAATGATTCTTACTCACAGAGAAGGAACCAGCAGCCCTGCTGACACCTCCCTCCTGGATTTCTAGCCTCCAGAATTGTGATACAGTACATTTCTGTTTTTTAAGCCATCTGTTTCTGGTACTTTGCTACAGAAGCCCTAGAAAACTAATACACTTAGAAAATTTGTCTTTTAGGCACATAAAGAGAAGCATTTAATGAGGTTAGAATGCTGTGGTGTAGCTCTGCTTATTGTCCTCCTCAACTTCCGGCTCTCCAGATTCAGGGATAAAATCCAGTCTATCTTTGGAATCTGTGATTTCTTACAACTTCTTTGATGTCTTACATGCAGAATCACATTTGTGGTTACAGAAAGCATGTTAATAATTCTCTTTTATTAAGACCTTACTATATTCCTGACACATTATATTTATTTTCTCTTTCAATCCTCCTTACAACCTTTTAAGGTAACATTTCTGCTTCATCTTACAGACAGGAAAATAGTTTCAGGTAGGCTAAATTACTAACCTAAGATTATACTGCTGTTTAATGGAGCTAAGATTTGAGTTTATATAGATCTAGTTGCAAAGTTCACACTACTTCTTCTATAATACACTGCAATTTTCCGAATGATATGAAAACAAAAGAGCTAACTGTATTAAACTCTCAGATATAATGCTACCCTTTGAGTCCTTAAAATTAGAAATAAAAGCTCTACCTTCCTAGGTCTATATAGCAGGTTCCTGATATACTAATTTTAATTCCTTATAAGTAAAGTTGGTTTTGTGGTAAAGGACCCTGTGCATTAACAAACCATGCATCTTTGCAACAGGAATATATGTCATGGAATTCTTACCTGCAAAAATATAAAACCTGCATTTCTAGTATTTCTTTTGCCATGCAAGATACAATAATGCATTATCCAGTATACAAAAACCAAAATGGTTTCAGAAGAATCTATGAAAAAAATCAGTGTTTCAACTCTAATAATGGAATTATTCTTAGGCTAAAGACCAATACTTAGCTTAGTTGCAAAACATATAATAGCTTTGACCTGTAAGAAATTTTTTTAGCATTTCCAACTTGGTTTGTTTCTGATTGGTTGATAATCTTAGAAACACTTTGCAATCTCTAAAAGCTTCAGGGCAAAGGGTCATCAGCAACACTGTGGAAGTTGAAGATACGTACAAGTATTCCATGGAAAATACAAATTGAGCAACTTCAACTTTCTTTTGGGATAACATTGATAGCTGATCTTTCTAGGCTTACCAAAGCAAATAGTAAGAAATGATATCTCAGTATGTTTAATATACACTAATATCTGTAGAAAACCAATCAGATAACCAATAATTATTTCAATTATTTGTTTGAGCAATCAGTCTTGCTATTTTGTAAACCTTTGCATCATTGGAAATAGAAAAATAATTCTGAGTAATATAAATCTTTAGATTATCATCACTAAATTTTATATTCTGTTTGACAAGATCTGAGAAGCTTTAATCTTCTACAATATGTGTAGTAAAATGAATCTACCTCCTTAAAACTAATTGGAAAATAAAGTTCCTTATTTTCTTACTCATCATATATTGGGTTAACCCAATCAGTTATTGAAAGAATCTGCCGAACACTCCACAGCTAATTATTTCACTTCAAGTAATTGCTATAAAGTGAAAAATTTTATAAAAACTACCTGATATACCTGCCAATTTTGTCTTTGATATGTTTGTGTAAAAGTTTTTACTTTTCAAGTCTCTTCAGAATGTATAATTAAAATAAAGCATATTTTACCTGTACATATATATATATATATATATATATATATGTATGTATCTTCTAACTGTTAAAATAATCCGAAATCCACTACAAGGAATAAGAGGTAATTCTAATTTCTCTATATATCAAAACACAATTTTAAAATATTTTACAATTATTATATAAATTAGTATTGTAATATCATTAGCACATACATTATGTAAATACAATAAATAATTATAATTTTAAATGTTATATTTTGTATTACATCATAATTTATATTATACCAATATTATTATAATTAGTATTATATTAATGTCATAATGCCTTAGCATGTAAATAGTATTAAAGATATAAGAAATATTACAAAGATAATTATGAGGCATTATAGAATAATGACATAATAAAAACAAAGCCATAGATTTAAGATGGTCTGTTTACAAATTACATATGACTCTACTGATGACAAAATGTCTTAAGAGAGAGAAAGTGCCTGAGAGAAAGATGTATGAATTGAGATCCAAATCAATGGATGCTAATAAAATAATTTTAAATTACAGGCTATTAAATCATTCTTCATCTTTATCAGTCATCTTCCTCAGTTATACAGAAACTAACCTCTTTGAATATACCTGATTTATTAAAACAACAATGTTATGTCAATATATCAAAATGATATTTAGTTCACATTAAGAAAAATGTTTCTCTTGTATTGGATCTTATGGGTCTTATTTTAGGAGTATCATAAACATGTATGCTTTCAATACAGATAATTAAGAAAATATCTTCACAGATTATACATATTTATCCTCAAAATATCAATTTTTTTGTCTTTTGAGTTATCAAAAGAATTTTTGCCATCAATACCGACCTCATTTAAATTATTTGCATGTTGAAAAATTATTGCTTTGAAACTGGTCAAGGGTGGCTTTTTTTCTCACAAATAAAGGATTTTTTTTACAATATTAGGAAATGGAAAATATTAGAAAATGTAAGGCAGTAAATATGGCACATCTATTTTTGTTAAGCTAATAACTCACATATTGTCATTTACATTTCTCAGCCATTCCTTTCTTCTGAGCTCCTCTCTGGCCAACTTTAATTCATTGATTGGTTCTGCCACCCGCAACGTTGGCTCCAAAGGCTTGTAGCGTTGTTTTAATACTTCAGTGATACCTCGGAAGGGCCCCTAACAAGACAGGATGAAGAATATATTTTATTATGGAAGTTTTCTTCAAATGTATTATCGATGACCAAGGCTAGTAAACATCTACAAAGTATAGGAGATTTACTAAGTTACTTTTAGAACACCATTTGTTCTCTGAGTTAGAATATATATGACATAATACCACTTATTTTCAAGCAATGTTTACTCAAATAAAAGTAATTACATTTAAAAATTTTTGAATTAAATGGAAGTTTCCCCATTTACACAAAAGATCTTTGTGCTATAAGTGGTAAACTTGTTATAGGTTGCTTTGCTTTCTATTTTACAAAGCACATTTTGCTTGGTATAATTAACAAACAATGGTCTCCCTTTTTGAGTAAATACAAATATTAGGAAAAAATTCTAAGCAGAGCTTTCAAAAAGCCTTTCTATAGTATTTTTTTCATTAAGTTAAAAATGTTTGGTGAATGTCAAATCTTACATTTATTAGGCAGCCTCCTAAACATAGAAGAACCATAACTTTTATTTATTTTAAATGTTGTTTATTTAAAATTCTAAACTCTATTTTCAATTATTCTGATACCAATAGCAACCTTTCAATGACACAAATACTTAGCAGAGGAAAGTCCATAGCTGCACTGTGAAAAGTAACTTACAATATATCCTGCTTTCAAGTTACTTGTTATATATACTAGTTACTAAAATCCACTGGTTGACTAATTAGTATCATATTAGGCACAATGCAGATCAGAGACAGCTCAAGATTTTGCAGTGCCATTAATTACATATTGTATTTTTTTCATCACTATTGTGCAGGATACAAGTAATATAAAATGGACAAAGATTTCTAATCAAATTCTTTATTCTTAAAAATATCTTCTTTAAATAGGTTATCACTAACAAGACACAGCTGGAGTTACTGCAAGCACTGAGTGAAGACTGTGGGGTTAATAAAAAGAAATGATTCATGCCTCATTTATGTTCACTTATGTTTTACATTAATAGAAACCAATAATAGGAATCAGTTACCATAAAAGTCATGGACCGTAAATAACATAAATAGCAAATAAGTATCATCTAGTACTTTTCACAGCTGGACAGGAGGATTGGTGTATTTGAAAGTAGTTAATAAATTTTCATTGGAACTTTACTTTTTAAAGATACAGTAACATGATTCCAAGTCCACTATTAAGAAATCAAATGGGACTTCTTTTTTTTTTTTTTTAACTTATTTGGATCCTTTACTTTGACAAATCCTCTAATTTTAAAAAATTAATATTTTGTTGTATGACAAGGGGAAAACTAGTTCTCTATGCTGGTGTTCATCATATGTAAAATGGAATAATAACTACATCTCAGGATTCCTCTTAAGATGTGTAACATAATTAACACCCTTACCATGTACTCAGAACACAGTAAACACTCAAAATGGTACCCACTGTATTGTCATTGTTATTATTATTACCATTATAATTATTAGCTTCAACAAGAGTTTTTAAAAGGTTTTGAGCAATAGTAGCATCAACGAAATACACAATGGCCAAAGGCTATGACTTTGAAGAGGACAGCATTCACATGGAGCAATTGTCTTCTCGGTGGCCAAGCTATGCCTTCTAACCTTTGTTCATATGCAAACATAACACATGTTTACTTGTAGGCTTACTCTGCTACTTGTTCTGGAGCTTATTAGTTCTAAGGAGACTAGAAAGTGAAACAGAAGGAACCCTGCTTAAGATTAGAATAGAAGTTAACTCAGTCTTCCTTTTGGGTTCACTACCACATTTATAATCCCTGACCTTTCCGCAGTCATGTCCATATCCCTGTGTCTTTTCAGTGGCTGGTCCATACATTTGTATCTCAGACAATTAGCATCTTGCCTTTGAGCTCAATTGTCCTCCAGCTCCTTGGTTATTGAATTTGACACCAGCTGTTAAGTTTCTCTGATGTCAAATTTTTGTTCATTTATATTTCTTTTGAAAACCTGCCTTTTTTTGATATCAGGCAATCACCTATCCCAATAATACCTAGAGTGACATGGGAACCCAGATTTTGTAAATATATATCTGTATTTATATATCTATGTGTACCTTTCACCTATCAAGCTTTAGATCTGCTGATTGTACTTATTTCCAATTAATCCCTAATGCCTAGGTTATCCAAGACTCAACCTTACCCTACAGGTATTTCTGGACTCTTAGCTATGGGGTTTCAATGTTTAGTTTACCCTGCTTCTACCTAAGCCCTGGTTATCAGTGTCAGATATATTTATGTCTTACTGTGTTTTTCATAATTCATGTTATTTATAGTCATCTTGTATTTCTAAGCTTAATTATTAAAACCATAAAATCATCACAGATATTTTAAAAATTCACCTGACAAGTAGAGCTACTCTGGCTAGAGTACAAATATCATTTGGGCATAATATCAAATGTCACCAATGAGTTATATACTTTTCTATTATTGGGTAACATACAGGAATATGGCTCAGAAAAAAAAAAACATAAAACAATCCCATTTTGGGAAAAAGAAAAAGAATTAAGGAAAGAAAGAAGAAGGGAAAGAGAAAATAAAAAAGAATGAAGAAGAATAGGAAGGAAAGAGGCAAAGCAAAAATGAGAGTAGACGGTGTGAGAAAAGATGACAGAAGGAAGATGGAGAAGGAAGGAAAGAGAAGAGAATGAAGAGCAGGGCTGCGGGGATGACATGGCCACAGGAAGAGGAGGAGGAACTTAAAGTAGAAAAGGAAGGTGACAGAGGAAGAAGGAAAGGAAAACAACGAAGGAGAAAATAATAGAGAAAAGAGAGGAGAAAAAAAGGAAGAAAGAAAAATATTAGTAGAGATCATTATTTTGTAGCACGCTAGATAAATGTAATTCGGGAGCATATATTAAGTATACATATATACATATATAAATACATATTTTTAATTCCTCCATATATTTATAAATTTCATATATAAATATATATATTTATGAATATATAAAAAATAAAATATATTTATATATTTCATGTATAAATATATATTTCTGTCTCTACACCCACACGTTGTTTTACAAATGTGTGTATTTTTCTATTTTTATACTTATATCATACATATATATATAACTTTCATATGGGCTGATATACCATTTATACATACATATATTTAATATATCTATACATCATCCATATATTATTTCTATATATCTATATATACCTTTCACCTATGTATTCCACAGACACTAAATACACTTAGGTATATATAAATATGTGTAAATAGAAGGTATGGAGAAAGAAAGCCATGGTAAGAAACGAAAATCATTGTACGGATGTTGTATTCAGAAATAGAGATGAAGAATGAATGCTAACAAGTGTAGAAGAAGCCACATCATAAAAGTATATTAAAAGCAGGGCAATAAAACAAATGTAATAACATTATAAAAAACCTATACAATAATATTACATGTTTAATGGTTAATGTTGTGAATATCGTATAGTGTGGTGGTTTGATTCACATGAACTTCGTGGTGTTTCCAGCTTAGAAATATTTACATGCTCTTATTTTATTCATGCCATGTAATTTTCACATTTCCTAAAATATTGTATGAAAAATTACTCTATGAATTCCATGTAGTACCAGTAGTTATACAAATGAATATAGTAGGCAATGTGGATTATTAAAAATTTAAATATGCAATGTTATATCTACCTTAACTGCTTTTGAACAGTTATTACATTTAACACACTGAACACTTAATATAGAACCAATGGAAATGCTAGAGTTGCTATTTTCTTGATAGAATATTAATAAATTTAACTACTTGATGCAGTTATATGTTTTATATGCAATGTGATGATTGCTTGCACTAACAGAAAAATAGTAATGTACATAATTCAAAATAACAAAAATTCAGTTATTCATAATATAAAATTCATTTTATATTTACATTAAAACTATTTTAAATGCTTTTACTAGAATATTGATATAACTCTTATTTAAAAGGGAATAATGAAATCATACTCTGAAGATATATTCCCCAGAAAACGGAAAATTTTCCTACTATCTCTCTTTTGTCCCCTTGTTCACTCCACCATGCTTGTCAATCCATTTTAGAAAAGGAAAGAATTGTCAGATTCCCATAAATGTATTCGTTTACTAGGTAATTAAGAACACTAATAACATGGGCCTGGAGTGATGGCTCATTCCTGTATTCTCAGCACTTTGGGAGGCCGAGGCAGGTGGATCACTTAAGGTCAGGAGTTCAAGACCAGCTTGGCCAACATGGTGAAACCCTGTCTTTCCTAAAAATACAAAACTTAGGAGGGCATGGTGGCAGTCACCTGTAATCCCAGCTACTTTGGAGGCTGAGGCAGGAGAATAGCTTGAACCAGGGAGGCAGAAGTTACAGTGAGCTGAGATCCCACCACTGCACTCTAACATGGGTGACAGAGTGAGACTCCATCTCAAAAAATGAATACTGATATAAATAGAATATGATAGTGTTTGGAAAACTCTGCCCCTACCGCGAAAGCTCTCTCTCTCTCTCTTTCCCTCCCCCACAAAGAGGCTCCCTTATCTCTCACTTTACATACCAGCCCTAGCCCTCCCGCCGCCCAGCTTCCTGCCCAGCAGTTCAAACTGACCAACAGTTGCCCACCACCTCGGCTTTCGGCTTCCCCACTCCCTCAGCCCTTCAACCCCCTATAAAACAACCCTGCCCCTCTGAGCGGCGCAGCCATTTTTCCTTTTCGTCCCGGCTGGCCCGCCCGGAGGCTCGTTTCTCTCAATAAAGCCTGAACTTAAGGACTTTCTCCTAGCCTGCAGTCCGGTTTCTTTCCCAATGAGCCCAGTCTTCCTGCAGAGGGTAGGTCGGTCAGATAGGAACTGAATCAGAGACGAAGAAAAAGAGAAAGCAGTTTAAGGGAGAAACTGACTATAGATTTTCAATTATATTTTATAGCTCCTTCTCTAAGATAGTATAACCACCTGTTAATAGTATTATCAGTTAGCAGCTTTGAGAAAGCCAAAAAAAAAAAAAAACTAAAAATAAAGGGAATTAAGGATGTAATTAAATTATAGATAATGGAAACACAACATTTATCACAAATCATTACAGTAAAGTGGGAAATTTTCAATGACACAGAATGTAGGACTATCTTATTGCCAGGATGATTCAATGGTTGGGGGTATAAAAGGCAGTCTCTAAGATGACCCCCAAGGGCCCCTGCCTCCTGGTATTCATGCCTTATGTAGTCTTTTGCCCTTGAGTATAAAATAGACATATTCATTTCTAACAGATAGAACATGGCAGAAGTGATAGGATATCACTTCCAGCATTAGCTTTATAAGCCTGTGGCTTCTGTTTTGAAAGTTGTCTCTCACCATCCCTAGGATCACTCGCCCAGAGGGAAGTGAGCTACCATGTGCTGAGGCAGCTCTGTGAAGATGCCAATGTGAGGAGGGGCTGAGATATGACAATACCCAACCATGTAAGTGAGGGAACCAACCAAGAGAGTCTCACTGCCCTCCTATTCCCACCCTCCATCTTAGCCTTCAGATGAGATCATGGCTCTAGCTGACATCCTTTTGTTTTTTGTTTTTGTTTTTAATAGAAGCAGGGTCTCACTATGTTGCCCAGGCTGGTCTCGAACTCCTGGGCTGAAGTGATCCTTCCACCTCACCCTCCCAAAGTGCTGGGACTACAAGCATGAGCCACTTTGCCTGGCCTGGTTGACATCTTGACTACAACATCCTGAGAGAACTTGAGTCAGAGGCACCCTAGGTACAACCAAAGGCTGTACCTAGAATGGCAAACCCACAGAAACTGTGAAATAGCAAATTTATTTTGATTTAACCCATTAGATTTTGGATTAATTTATTATACAGCAATATAGATACACAAGGGCATGCCAATGTAGGGAATTAATGGTCAGGAGTTCTGGGAGTTTAACTGTGAGCCAAATCTAACCCTATTCGAGGTTGATACTACATGGTGGCAGTTTAATTATTGATGGGAATGATAGACCTGTTGCTCTCTGAGACTTGTAGGATGGTGACAATCATCACTCACCCCACCCCACTCTACCCTTCAGCCTCAGGAAGTCATTTGCCAACCCTGTTCTACCACAATCCAGTTACAGTGAAGATTTCCCATCTCTACCATGAGTCTTGCTTTGTTTTGAGCTCTCTCTAAACCTCAAATTCACATTTTTAAAATTACTCAAACCCAAGTTATGTTTAAAATGGTATATAAAGACATACAGCATCAAATGAGAGGTAAAATTCAATAAAATTGATAATACATATGTTCCCAGCTACAAGTTACAAGTGTAACCTGTATATCAAATATAACCTATATATCAAGTATAACCAAGTATACCAAGTGCTATAACAATATTTTTACATAAAAAAATCTAGATTCTAGAAAATAATCCATGTTTTAACTTCCTATTAAATGTAATAAGATTCTCAACATCACTAACAATTAGAAAAATGTAAATCAAAACTGCAACAAGATACTACTTTACATCCATTAGGATGGCTACTACATATATATTTATACATATTGTTGGTGAGAATGTGGAGAAATTGGGACCCTTGTACCCTGTTGATAGGAAAGGAAAATGTATACAAATGCTATGGGAAACAGTATGGCAGTTCTCAAAAATTAAAAATGTAATTACCATATAATTTGGCAATTCCACTTCTGAATATATTCTTCTTCTTCTTTTTTTTTTTTTTGAGATAGAGTCTTGCTCTGTCACCCAGGCTGTAGTGCAATGGTGCAATCTGCGCTCACTGCAACCTCCACCTCCTGGGTTCAAGCAATTCTCCTTCCTTAGCCTCCCAAGTAGCTGAGATTACAGGTGCCTGCCACCACACCCAGCTAATTTTTTGTATCTTTAGTAGAGACGGGATTTCGTCATGTTTTCCAGGCTGGTCTTGAACTCCTGATCTCGTGATCTGCCTGCCTCAGCCTCCCAAATTGCTGAGATTACAAGTGCCTGCCACTACGCCTGGCTAATTTTTGTATCTTTAGTAGAGGTGGGTTTTACCATGTTTGCCAGGCTGGTCTTGAACTGCTGACCTTGTGATCCACCTGCTTCAGCCTCCCTAAGTGCTGGGGTTACAAGCGTGAAGCACCACCCAGCCAAGTATATCCTTAAAATAAATGAAGACACAATCTCAAAAAGATCTTTTACACCCTTGTGCACAGCAGCATTGTTCACAACAGCTAAAGTGTGGTAGCAATTCAAATGCCTATTGGAGGATAAATGGATAAGTACAATGTGGTATGTACTTAAAATAGAGTATTATTCAGCCTTAAGAAAGAAGGAAATTTGCACATATTCTTCAACAAAGATGAACTTTAAGAACATTGTGCTAAGTGAAATAAGTCATGTCAGGGGATGGGGCAAATGAAAATGGAAAGCTGTTTAGTGGGTCTAGTGTTTCAATCTTGCAAGATGAAAAGAGTTCTAGTAACAGATGATTGCATAAAAATATGAATGTACTTAATGCCACTAAAGTGTATAGTTAACAGGGTTAAATTAAGATAGAAAATTATATGTAATGTGTTTTATCATAATATAAAAAGTATAAAAATAGCAAGAATAAAATTAATAACAGAATCCTCATACAGCAAATTAGTACCTGACATTTCTTTCTATTAATAGGTGGTAGAATTTCAGACCGAGGAAAAGAACGGGTGCTTGTACAAGCAAGCCAGTCAGTAAGGCTGGTGGAATCCTTCTGCTTAACTTTAGGTCTATGGTGTGTTAAAGGCTTTGCCTTCTGTAATTGCAGCTCCCATGGATCAGGCTCTTTTCTGAATGGTGAATTGTATATTCCTGGAATCTAAAGAAGAAGAAATCAATTTTGATTTTTATCTTTAATTTTCACATGAAATAAAAGAAAAATGCAGTTTTACCATGCAATTTTTTATGTTTAAAGAATATTTTAAACTACAACTGTAGTTCTTAACTGTAGCTCTTAACTGTAGTTCTTAGAGTTGGACTTCAGATTTACCTAAGGAGATTTTTAAAAATACTCATACTTTGTCTTTACTCTAGACCAACAATTTTAGTATCTTTCAGGATTGAGCACTAAATATTTTAAAAACTAGTGAGCTAAAGTTCCTACCTGTCACACAGCCTTTTCACATCATTATACTTCAGAAAAAATTACAGTAAGCCCCAAGCCATTCATTCTGTGTTCTAACTATATGCAATGTATATTTAACCATATGAGTGAGTCACATATTCACTCACAGAAAGTCAAATATACAATGCTTAAACAAGTTTCAGATACAAAATATGTACTCAAATATTTGATTGATTATTTTAATTATTATTCATTACACAACCTAAGGGCAGCTATCTTAACTTTTATACTTTAACATACAAACTGGTATCACCTAATCATAATGCTATAGGTATCACCTATAATGATGTCTGTAGCCTATAACATAGACTATAAAACTACATTATATATCACTTAAAATAATAATAACCATCATCATCCTGTATAAATAAAATCTTGTATTAATAAAAATAATAATCCTGTATTTCATGAGTTGTGTTCACACGGTTAGGTGCTATGCTTCTGTAGTGTCCTATTATCCTTGCTGTTCTATCACTGACTTTGTCACATACTGTATCAAAATAGTCAAAAGTGCCTAACATACAACAGAGGTTCAACAGATGTTTGTGTGTCAAACGTTAAGTCAAATTTAGCAGATGTCCATTTTTGAAAATTTAATGTTGTTTGAGTATACAAACTTCACAGAATGAAATTTTGAGGGTATTATATTTTAATAGTATTAGATACCAATCTTTGCTATATGGTTCCATGAAGCCTTATATCAAAATATATACACATGTGACTATGTAAATATCATACACAAATGCATACTCACAAGGAGAAGTTACATTTTAAAGGGCAGTTTGACTTATTTGGTTTCTTAGTAGACACTCTGGACTATATAAAGAATATATCCATTAAATTTATTTGTTCTTACTAAAAATGTGATTTCTCTTATGCCGTCAGCATATCTATAAACGTGCCTGTTTGCTATAGTTACTTTATGGAATCAGCAGTTCCAAAGCATTAACTAAGACAGCTGTCTTGGAAAAACTATCTGAAAAGTTTATATTTCCAGCCTAACTCAACAATAAGTGTTAACCTCTATCAAATATCTACCCAAGCTAGATTCAATGTCCTACCCCAAATGCTTCCTTACTATGGAAATAACCACCACAACACCTGTCATATTACACTGTTTCAAAATTACATTTACATGTATGTCTTCCATGAGCTAGCAGTTGGAGCACAGAGCATCTGTTCCAGGTATTTTTGCAACCCCAGGGCCCAGCAGGGTACTTGACACTTAGTAGGCACTCAATAAATGAATGTTAAATGCTCATCTAGAATAACAATGCATAGTTCAGAAAAGCTCATGAAAACCTCTATTTTACTCTTGCTTTCCTAAGCAACATAAATATCTTAATAAAAAGTTTGAGACTTACTTCAAAATCGTATTGCCTGCTTTCAAAGAATATACAGATTATAACATTTTTCTCTTTCTTAACAGAACAGTTTCAATTTGCTTTTAAACACATTGTCAAAGACCTACTTGAGGCACCTCCAAACTCAAATTTTCTTATTCTATAATTGGAGACTGAATTTTATTGGATACGAAAGAGTTAATGGAAATGCATTTACACCTTTAAAAATATTTTTGTATGGCTCTTCTTTGAGCTTTATTCTCTATTACAATTGACACAAGAAAAACACTGTGCTGAAAAACATTAAAGACAGTTATATAAACCATTTCTAATGTCATGTTAACATTTTCTCACTATAACAGTAAATGTAGACAAGGTATATACAGACAATAGATTTCTGTGGACAGTAATTTTTAAGTCAATGGCAATTATAAAGATAATTTCTAGGGTGATTTTCTAAGATGAGAATTTATCGATTATAATGAAAAAAATAAATGTTATATTTTTAAGATACTACCATGACATAAAGTATAACTGAATGTACAGTCTATAAAAATGATATGAGAATAACATTCTGATCAGTGATGATCAGATAAACTGAAGTCTGTCAGTTTTTTGTTAACATTTTTAAAACCTTACAGATTAAAATATTAAAATACATACAATTTAGCTAGATTATAATTTATCAGTTGAAAATATCTACCTACCCGAATGACAACTACCAGCTATTAACTTTACCCCATTAGAAATCCTCTTTGATTTCTTGCACATTTGCATGCACGTGTATACATAGGCTAGATGGGAAATGCAAATGAATCGGTAGATATGACAGCTTTCTTAAATTATATTTTGCAACCTATTTGAAGACCTCCTCATGTGTATTCTCTCTGCAATTCAACTCAAATATAGATCAAAATATATTTTAATTGAATTTCAAATGTATCATTTAAAGTCTTCAAGGTGTCAGTATTTTAGAAATTAATTTAATACTTTTGCTAACTTATGTCAATAAAAACAGTCCAGCACTCCCTCAATCCCTACAGCAAGCAAATACCCTATTTATTTATATTGATACAGTATTCATTTACTTATTATATCTTTAAGTAAATAAAACAACCTTAACATACTATTGTCTCAATTGCCATATTTCATCATTTGTAAGCCACTTATGAAGAATGATTTGTTGTTGATTTTTAAAAATATTACCATGAGTCACAAAGACAGGGTTAATCCTAAGGGACTGTGGCATATTTTTCAGTTTTCACATTTTTCACAACTTAGAAGGACTACTGCCAAGCTAGCTTTGGGGACTTCATTTTCAGCAATAATTTTCTAGAGTGACCAACACTATGGGGAAATCTGTGCTGTTTAAAAAAAAAGAAAAAGCCTACAACTGAGTTATTTGCAGTACTGTCATGCTAACATTCAACTCAATAAGACCCAAGAAATCTCAGGAGAGGACTCTGCTATTAGCTTCTTACTGACCTCCTTGCATCAGGCCCTGCTGCTGACTGGTGGCCCAGTGGTGAATATGGCAAATGAGGTGTGAAAGCACTGATTTTTTTTAAAGGCTATGATTCTGACTCGTCAAAAGGGGCAATGAATTATATAATAGATATATATTTTTCTTGAATTCCCCCCTTCAGACTCTCCATCATGGAAACTTAAGTATGACCTAGAATATTAATTATGTCAGGTTGAGCAACGAGCAAATGTACCATTTGTTACCCAGTCACCCTTAGCATTACATTAATATTTGAACCATTCCATATTTTTAACAATCTATCAATTGGCTCTTTTCTTCTCAGTTTTTATTCTTATACTTAAGTGTTATATGGAAAGGTGTTAAAGAGGTATAATTGATTTGAAAATAAATGGATATACTTGTTTTTATTTGGAACATCTACTATTTTATTCCATGAAAAACATTTCTGTGGCCATTTTCCACTTGCACACTGACTTTTATTTTGTAATTGCCTGGAGGAAGCTATAGTCTAATCTTTTTCTCTTCTCTTTGTTATCAAGGAGTACTTTTAAAACAAATTTCTGTGAAATAGGAAGAATAGGACACAGGATTGTGTGCACCTACAATTCCCAAATCACGATTACTAATGTTCTAATTTCATATTTTAATATAACAGAAATAATAATTTCCCATGATTTCCAAGGAACTGCTTATTCCAGGTATGAGGAATGATTAAGTATTCAGGATAGGTGGAAGAATTCAAGTTTTAGTTCTACAAGTAACAATTACACAGCAAAAAAAGGGGGGGCTTACAGCAAATAGGAATAAAATTTAAAACTATTTTCTTGTCTCGATTAAAAATTTCTGAATACCATGAGAGAGAAACAGTTCTTAAAGAAGAACTATCTAAAATATGTTTGGGTTCTAAGTTTTAATAACATATGCTTTTAAAAAATAATATACTCAGCCAGTAAAGAAGAGTAGTAAAGATCTCTCTCTAATAACTAGAAAAGTAAAAGTGGGCCAGAGAACTGTGAATGAAATATTTGCTAGGGTAGGGACTGCTTAGTCAACACTGACCAATGCACTTCATCATAATTATCAGGACATACTACTGCCAGGGGATTTATAAAAATCCCACTCAGCAAATAATTGCCCTGCTGTTAGGAGATAGTCAGAGTGTTAACACACTGTCACAGTCCAGCATTTAGTAAGATATTCTACATTCAATTACTCTTGCTAAGAACTAAAAGGAAACTTGGTCATTTCTCAGCTACAGCAGTTATGCTTCCACGCGCATTTCAGAAAATAACCCTCAGATAGTACTCCAGGTGGAATAACAATTGCATGGAAACATTAGGGATTCACAAAGGATACATCTGGTCAGAACGTGTCTATATAAAGGAGTATTCTTAAAAATTATAACTGATGACAAATGCTTTTAGTCTTCTTTGTTTTACTTCAGTCAAGAAAGAATTTTTAAATGTATTGAGCCATATTACAGAGTGAGGTCACTTTAAACATGGATCCCAGAAAGTTGAAAAAGTAACTTAAAAGTAACTTGAAGGGGTCATTTGGAGTTCTTCCAAGAACTCAAGCCCTAAAGAATGCCATCAAAAGGAGCATTTCAGCCAAGATCATGAGTTTGTTTGTATGCTTCTTTTTTTTTTTTGAGACGGAGTTTCGCTTTTGCTACCCAGGCTGGAGTGCAATGGCGCAATCTCGGCTCACCGCAATCTCCGCCTCCTGGGTTCAGGCAATTCTCCTGCCTCAGCCTCCCGAGCAGCTGGGATTACAGGCACGCACCACCATGCCCAGCTAATTTTTTTGTAATTTTAGTAGAGACGGGGTTTCACCATGTTGACCAAGATGGTCTCGATTTGTTG